TTTGCTTTCTTTATGTGTGATGTTCCCACAATTCACCTGGTCTTTGGTCACTGGTGTTCAATGTGTCATCTATTCTTCATATGGTCTCTAAATTCAGATGATATAATCAAGCTTGTATTTTGGCTCTCATGGACTTGTTTTAATTTTGTTCAAGCTCTGGTGGCTTAGTGCCTAAGGCATTTGACTGCTAACCAGAAGGCTGGTGGTTCAAACCCACCAGCCACTCCTCAGAAGGAAGACTGGGTAATCTACTTTCGTAGAGATACCACCATGGAATCCCAAGGAGGGTTTTCTATGAGTCAGAATCCACTCAACAGCAGTGAGTCTGATTTGGTTTGGTTTTCAACTTGAACTTGCATATGAACAACTGATGGTTTGTTCTACAGTCAGCTCCTGGACTTGCTTTGACTGATGTTGAGCTTCTTTATCACCTCTTTTCACAGATGTTTCCAATTTGATTCCTGTGTATTCTGTGTTAGAGCTTAAATTCTGAAGCACTTGGGTTTGTGGAAGGCTGTGGTCTGCAGTGGGAGCCCTAACTCTATTCTGAGGCTTGACATATTTCAGATAGCATTTGGGTTCTTTCAGACCATTAAACCAGCATTGTGGTTATACACCGACACAATCTATGACAAACCTAGGGAGGGGCAGTTTGCTTTCAGGAAGGGTATGGTTGAAACTAGACTATGCTCATACAAAGAACTAGGGAACTTGCCTGAGTGTGTCCTTTCTTGATTTAAATTAAGGTCAGGGTCTGGGTATTGTTTGGTAACTGTGGCTAAGACTCAGGCTGCATGGTCATTAAGTCACAACCTATCCAGACCACACCATCTAGCCAGGTAGTCAAGGCTCAGAATGAATCCTGTAACCCTTTTCAATGTTGAATTCCCAATCATGGTCTTTTTTCTTTTTCTGTAGTCCCAATCCGCCACAAGTCATGATTTTGTGATGATTCCCTGTTTTTTTCAATCATATATAATTAGTCTCATGGCCATGACTCAGCAGATTCCATTCAGCTTTCTGTACTGTGTACATGCGGATGGTTTACCTCATCCTGGATGACTGTCTTTGTCCTGTCTGAGGCTTAATAAAAGTGTCCCTATTGAACCTGTTTGAATCTGGAATCTTTCTTCCCCTATTACATCACCAAGGCCATTATTTTCCAACTACTGATCCTTCTTTGTTTCCAACTTTTGCATTCCAATCACCAGTAATTAGCAATACATCTTGATTGCATTTTTCATCAATTTCAGACTACAGAATTTGGTAAAACTCTTTAATTTCTTCTTGGGCTTTAGTGGTTTTGCATATATTTGAATAATAGTAGTATCAACTGGTCTTCCTTGTAGATGTAGGGATATTATCCTGTCACTGTCAGCATTGTACTTCAGGATAGATCTTGAACCATTCTGTGTGATGATGAATGACATGCCATTCTTCTTCAATTTGTCATTCCTAGCATAGAAGATCATATGATTGTCTGATTCAAAATGGCCAATACCAGTCCATTTCAATTCACTAATGCCTAGGATGGTAAGGCATTTGGATGCTAATCAGAAGGTCAGCGTTTCAAACCCACCAGCCACTCTGCAGGAGGACGATGAGGCAATCTACTTCAGTAAAGATTCACAGCCTTGGAAATCTAGTGGGGTTCACTATAAGCTGGAATTGACTTAATGGCAGTGAATTTGGTTTTTGGGTTTTAATGCGTAGGATATCGACCTTTATGCATCCCATTTCATTTCTGACAACTTCCAATTTTCCTAGATTTTACTTTGTACATTCCACATTTTGATTATTAATGGATATTTGCAGCTGTTTCTTCTCATTTTAAGTCATGCCACATCAGCAAAGGAAGGTTCAAAAAGCTTTATTCCATGCACCGTCATTAAGGTCAACTCAACTTTGAGGAGGCAGCCCTTCCTCAGTTGTATTTTGAGTGTCTTCCAACCCATGGGCCTTATCTTCTGGCACTATATCAATGTTTCACTGCTCTTTATAATGTTTTCCAGTAATATATCAGACAATATTTCACTGCTATTCATAAGGTTGTCAGCAGTCAATTTTTCCAGAAGTGGATGGCCCTGTCCTTCCTGTCTTAGTCTGGAATCTCTGAACCATGTCCACCATAGGTGTCCCTGCTGGTATTTGAAATATTGGTGACATAGCTTGTCACATAGCTTGACACAGCACCACACAAGCCATCACAGTAAGACAAACTGACAGATGAGTGGTGAAAAGGATTCTAGGGGCAAAATATTGAATGATACAGGAAGCATCAAAAGATGGAAGAAATACACAGAGTCACTGTACCAAAAGAAATGGTTGACATTCAACCATACCAGAAGGTGGCATATGATCAAGAACAAATGGTATTAACAGAAGATGTCCAAGTTGCACTGAATGCATTGGTGAAAAACAGAATTGATAAAATATCAATTGAGATGTTGCAATAAACAGATGCAACACTGGAAGTCCTTACTTGTCTATACTAAGAAATTTAGAAGACAGCTACCTGGCCAACTGACTAGAACAGATGCATATTTGTGCTCATTCCAAAGAAAGGTGATCCAACAGAATGTGGAAATTACTGCACAATATCATTAATATCACATGCAAGTAAAATTTTGCTGGAGATAGTCCAAAAACGGTTGCAGCAGTACACAGGAAGGGAACTGCCAGAAATTCAAACTGGATTCAGGACACAGAACAAGGGATATCATTCCTGATGTCAGATGAATCATGGCTGAAAGCAGAGAATATGAGGAAAGATGTTTACCTGTATTTTACTGACTACGCAAAGGCATCTGACTGTGTGGATCGTAACATATGGGTAACACTGCAAAGAATGGGAATTCCAGAACACTTAATTGTGCTCATGAGGAACCTGTACACTCCAAAAGGCGGTCATTCTAATAGAACAAGGAGATACTACATAGCTTAAAATCAGGAAAGGTGTGTATCAGAGTTGTATCCTTTCACATATTTATTCATTCAATCTGTATGCTGAGCAAATAATCCAAGAAGTTGTACTATATGAAGAAGAACATGGCATCAGGATTGGAGGAAGACTTACTAACAACATGCAATATGCAGACAGCATAACCTTGCTTGGTGAAAGCAAGGAGGACTTGAAGCACTTACTGATAAAGATCAAAGACTACAGCTTTCAGTATGGATTACACCTCAACATAAAGAAAACAAAAATCTTCACAACTGGACCAATAAACAACACCATGACAAACAGAGAAAAGATTAAAGTTGCCAAGGATTTCACTTTGCTTGGATCCACAATCAACTCCCATGAAAACAGCAATGAAGAAATAAAATGATGTATTGGATTGGGCAAATCTACTGCAAAAGATTTCTTTAAAGTGTTAAAAATCCAAGATGTCACTTTGAAAACTAAGGTGCACCTAACCTAAGCCATGGTATTTTCAATTGCTTCATATGCACGTGAAAGCTGGACAATGAATAAGGAAGACCGAAGAACGAATGCCTTTGAATTATGGTGCTGGAGAAGAATACTGAATATACCATGGACTTCCAGAAAAACAAACAAATCTTTCTTGGAAGAAGTACAGCCAGAATGCTCCTTAGAAGTGAGGATGGCCAGGCTTTATCTCGTGTACTTTGCCTATGTTACAGGAGGGACCAGTGCCTGGAGAAGGATATCATGTTTCATAAAGTAGTGGGTCAGTGGAAAAGAAGACCCTCAACGAGATGGATTTGACACAGTGGCCGCAACAATGGGTTCAAACATCAATGACTGTGAGAGTGGCACAGGACAGGGCAGTGTCTCATTCTGTTGTACATAGGGTCAGTATTAGTAGGAATCTATTTGATGCCACCTAACAACAACATCCTAAGGAAATAACTGGTTAAATGAACAAAGAGGTATTTATTAGTATCTTCATTGCAGAATTATTCATAACAGTGAAAAGTAAGAATAAATGAAATGCCATCAGTGCGGGACTGGTTATTTATTCATTCAACAAATATTGATTAAGCACTTACTGTACATCAGGCACTGTGCTAGTTGCTGAGGATATATCAGTAAATAAACCAGGCCAGGCCTCTGCCCTCAAGGAGCTTACAGTGTAACTAAGAGACAGGGACAATGCTCATATAACACAGTAATCTACCATTTCTATCTAGGATAATGCAAAGAGCCAGGGAAATCCCCAACAAAGGGCATAAATGCCCCACAGAGGAACAGATCTGGATTGTTTCAAGGTCAGAAAGAAAGCAGCTACGGCTTAAAGAGGAGGGCAATGATGAGGTTGAGAGGATAGAAGCACTGGCTTATGTGATTGAGCGGTTCAATAAAGCAAAGCATGGGGCAGTCTGTGGTGTTGAGAATGTCAGGCATGGATGGGTTTGAAGGGAAATCTATGAGATGAAACAAGAAAAACAGGCAAAGAGAAGCATTTATGATGTGTTTCTCCAAACTGCATGCTCCCTACACCCTTCCTGAAGGCCTCTGTTTCCTAAGCCCACTTTCTCCCATATTCTGTATCACCACTAGCCCTCTCCCCACCCCCAAAAGGTTTGATTGCATTTTCTTCTGACAGCTCCCTGCACTTTCCCTTCATTGTGCTGTCTGATTTTAAATTACATATGTCCAGGTATGTGTGTGTGTTAGTTTCTCTTCCTGTCTCATAACAGCAGATCCGTGAGTGTAGGGACAACGGCGTTCACTGTTCATGTTTCCCCTGTGCCTAGATTTTAGAAAGTATTCAATACATATTTGCCGAATGACATGCTTGCTGAATGAATAAACAAATGAAGGCACCTGTCTATACTCTGTTCTGTCATTTTACTTCCTGAAGGAACTGAAACCTATCAGACAGTAGGAGCTCTAGGTCTGGTGAACTTTGTGTGAGAAGAAATGATCCCACTTGTGGAATGCGAGTACTACATAAGAAACACTTTCTGCAGCACTGGGTCCCACCTGCATTCTGCACTGGGTATTAGCTACCTTGTTTCTGAGGACTTACCCGCAAAAAGGACTGCTTCTCTCCACAAGCTTTACATGTCCACTTGAGACTCTTTTTCACCTACAATAAAATTTTTAGAAATATAGCTCAGTTAATTATTAAAGGGTAGAACTTGGGCAGAAATAATAAAAAAGATCAGTGGAAAAGTAAGAGTGCAGAAACGAACTGACACATAAATGAAAATTAATATATCACAAAGGTGGTATTTTAGGAATGAGAAAGAATAGATTAATAAATGACACTGGGAAAACTGGCTATACACATTGTTCTGGTTACCTAGTGCCATTCTGACAAGAATATACCACAAATGGGATAGCCTTAACAAACAGGAGTTTATTCTCTTACAGTTCAGGAGGCTAGAAGTCCAAATTCAAAGTGCCAGGCTCTAGGGGCTGGGTGAAAGCCCATCAGCCTTGGGATTCAGCTCTGCCTCCAGTTCCCGGCACACTGAAGCTCAAGGCTTTTCTTCACTCAGACAGCTGTGGGCTACTGAAGCTGCCAAGCCCAAGGTTGACAAGTAAAAAAGGCACAGTCCCAATGTTACCAAACCACATGGCAGGCCATTCAAGTCCATTGTAAGTCCCAAGGTCAGCAGAGCATGGCAGGCTGCTGAGCAATAACATGCTACATGCAGGGTCCAAGCATACCATAAACTAGAGACTATCCCCCAAGCTTCTTCCTTATATACAGGAAGCAGACCACATCCCAAAGACAGCTATTCAGCTGCTTGTGGTAGATTCCACCATGGAGTTGATTATCAGTCTCATCATGCGGAATACTACATCCAGCTGCTCAGCCACTCAACCAGGCCCTGCCAAATTAACACACAAACTGAACTACCACAATTATGAAACAAAACCAAGTTAGATCTCTACCATTAATTACTAGAATATGTTCTAGGAATTGAAGATAAATGGAAATCATTTACTTTTTTTTTTGAACTCTTCATTGTGATTTGGGTGGAAGTTTACAAAGCAATTTCCTTTTCCATTCAACAGTTCATGTAGATTTTGTTTCTTGACATTGATTACAATCAATTCCACAATGTAACAACTCTCTTCCCACTTCCTCCCTGTGTCCATTCCTGCCTTCTGAGCTTTCTCCCTGTACAAATGCCGCCCTTCTGATCACACATGGTTGATTGTTCCAAGGAGTGCACCTCTCTGGTGTAATTGTTCACCTCCCAGGCGTGTCTATTGTTTGGCTGAAAGTTAAGCCACAGGAGTGAATTCAATTCCAGGTCCAAAGCGGGCCACGTTCTTGGAGGTTTCACCAGTCTCTATCAGACCAGGAAGCTTCTTAATGATTTTTAGTTTTGTTCCACATTTTTCACCCACTCTATCCAGGATCTCCAATCCCTTCAGGAGTGGTTGGCAATAGCAGCCATGCACCATCTTCTTCTGGTCTCAGAGTTGTGCAGGCTGAGGTTCCCATGGTCCACTATCCCATTGGACTAATTGCTTCCAACACGTCTTTGGTTTTCTTTGCTCTTCTTTGCACCATACATGGAGACCAACAGTGGCATGTTAGATGGCCACTTGCAAGCTTGTAAGACCCCAATCACTACTCAACAAAGCAGGGTACAGAACAATGTTTTTTGTGTACTATGTTATGCCAAATGACCTTGATGTCCTGTGACCAGAGCCAAAAGCCTACAGATCCAGCAACTCACTCCCTCAAGAAGTTTGCTTGTGGCTAAGAAGTTATCATAACTTTTCCCTGTTGCTGTTGTTAGGTGCCGTCAAGTAGTCTCCAACTCATAGCAACCCTACATACAACAGAACGAAACATTGCCCGGTCCTGAGCCAGCCTCATGATCCCTGCTATACCTGAGCCCATCGTTGCAGCCAGTGTCAATCCATCTTGTTGAGGGGTTTCCTCTGTTTTCATTGACCCTCCACTTTACCAAGCATGATATCCTTCTTCAGGGAATGGTCCCTTCTGACAACATGACCAAAGTAGGTGAGATGAAGTTTGGCCATTCTCGCTTCCAAAGAGCATTCCAGCTACACTTCTTCCAGGAAGATTTCTTAGTTCTTTTAGCCGTCCACGGTACTCTCAGTATTCTTCGCCAACACCACAAATCAAAAGTATCAACTCTTCTTCAGTCTTCCTTATTCACTGTCCAGCTCTCAAATGCATAAGAGGCAAAAATACCATGTCTTGGGTCAGCACACCTTAGTCTTCAAGGAGACATCTTTGCTCTTCAGCACTTGAAAGAGATCTTGACTGCTGCTTCCATTGGCACTGATAGCAGAACCAAGTAATATAAAATCTTTGACAACATCAATCTTTTCTTCACTTATCGTGATGCTGTTTACGGTCTGGTTGTGAAGATTTTTGTTTTCTTTATGTGTAATCCATACTGCAGTCAGTGCTTTAAGTCATTTTCACTTTCAGAAAGCAAAGTTGTGTCGTCTGCATATCTCAGGTTGTTAATGTGTCTTCCTCCAACCCTGATGTCATGTTCCACTTCATGTAATCCAGCTTCTTGGATTATTGGCTCAGCATACAAACTGAGTAAGTATGGTGAAAGGATACAACCCTGCTGCACTCCCTTCTTGATTTTAAACCATGCAGTGTCCCCTTGTTCTGTTCAGATGACAGCCTCCTGTCTATGTACAGATTCCTTGTGAGTACAATTAAGTGTTCTAGAATTCCCAGTTTTCTCAATGTTATCCATAATTTGTTATGATCCATATAATTGAACGCTTTTGCATAGTCAATAAAACATAAGTAAACATCTTTCCGGTATTTTTTGCTTTCAGCTAAGATCTATCTGACATCTGCAATGATATCCCTCGTTCCACATCCTCTTCTGAATCCAGCTTTGCATTTCTGGAAGTTCTCTGTCAATATACTGCTGCAACCAGTTTTGAATTATCTTAAGATATTACTTGCATGTGATATTAATGATATTGTTCGATAATTTCCACATTCTGTGGGATCACCTTTCTTTGGAATGGGTAGAAATACGGATCTCTTCCAGTGAGTTGGCCAGGTAGTTGTCTTCCAAATCTCTTGGCATAGCCAAGTGAGTGCCTCCAGCATGGTATCCATTTGTTGAAACATCTCAATGGATGTTCTGTCAATTCCTGGAGCCTTGTTTTTTGCCGCTTCCTTCAGTGAAACCTCAACTTCTTCCTCCAAAACCACTGGTTCTTGATCATATGCCACCCTGAAATGGATGAACATCAACCAACTCTTTTTGGTACAGTGACTCTGTGTATTCCTTCCATCTCTTTTTTGATGTTTCCTGCATCATTCAATATTTTGCCCATAGAATCTTTCAATATTGCAACTCAGAAGCTTAAATTTTTCTTCAGTTTTTTCAGCTTGAGAAATACTAAGCGTGTTCTTCCCTTTTGGTTATATAACTCTAGGTCTTTGCACATTTCATTGTAATAACTGACTTTGTGTTCTTGAGCTGCTCTTTGAAATCTTCTGTTCACCTCTGTTATCTTGTGATTTCTTCCATTTGCTTTAGCTACTCTCCATTCAAGGGCAAGTTTTAGAGTCTCTTCTGACATCCAATTTGGTCTTTTCTTCCTTTGTCTTTTTAATGAACTTTTGCTTTCTTCAGGGATGATGTTCTTGACATTATCCCACAATTCCTTTGGTTTTTGGTCATTGGTGTCCAATGCATCAAATCTATTCTTCAGATGGTCTCTAAATTCAGGTGGAATAATATCAAGGTCATATTTTGGCTCTCGTGGATTTTTTAAAATTGTCTTCAACTTGAACTTGAAATTGCATATGAACAGTTGTTGGTCTGTTCCACAATCAGCTCTTGGCCTTGTTTTGGCTGAACATATTGAACTTCTCCATCGTCTCCTGCAACAGACATAGTCAATCTGATTCCTGTGCCCTCCATCTGGTGAAGACCAAATGTATAGCCACCATTTATGTTGTTGAAAAAAAGTATTTGCAATGAATAAGTGATTGGTCTTGCAAAATTCTATCATGCATTCTCCAACATTATTTTTATCACCAAGGCCATATTTTCCAACTACTGGTGATTCTTCTTTGTTTCCAGTTTTTGCATTCCAATCACCAGTGATAATCAGCACATCTTGATTGCATGTTTGGTGAATTTCAGGCTGCAGAAGTTGGTGAAAATCTTCAATTTCCTCATCTTTGGCTTTGGTGGTTGGTGCATAAATTTGAATTATAGTAGAATTAACTGGTCTTTGTTGTAGGCATATGGATATTATCCTGCCACTGACAGCACTGCATTTCAGGATCTTGACATAATCTTTGTGATGATGAATGCCACACCATTTCTCTTCAATGTCATTCCTGGCATAGTAGACCATGTGGTTATCTGATTAAAAATGGCCCAAACAAGTCCATTTCAGCTCACTAATGTCTAGGATATTGATCTCTGTGCATTCTATCTCACTTTCTTTTTTTCTTTTTTTTTTTTAACTTTAATCAAATGAGTTTGTATTTTACAAGCACAAAATAATTAGAGAATGCTTCCGCAAATTTCAAAGAATTGATGTGATCATCTAGATATCAAATGGACATCATTGTAATATTAAAAATAATCCTAAAGAAGTTGGTTCTACTTAATGTCAACAACAGTACATTTTTT